GGGGGGAGGATAAATGGGGGCGAGAGGGGCCACGACCCCCCCAAGGCAGCGATGGAGCCGCGCCGGGTCCTTGGGCTCTTCCTCCTCCTCCTCTTCCTCCTGCTCGCGGGCACCGAGGCGGCGGTGAGGGGCGGGGGGGGTCCCTGGGGGATGGGGAGGGGGTTGCTTGGGGATGGGGGGGTTTTTGGGGTGTCCCAGGTGCTTTGGGGGGGGACTCAGGTGTTTTTGGAGGGTCCCAAGTGTTCTGGGGGGAACTCAGGTGTTTTTGGAGGGTCACAGGTGTTTTGAGGTACTCAGGTGTTTCTGGGGGGGGACTCGGGTGTTTTTGGAGGGTCCCAGGTGCGTTTTTGGGGGGTCCCAGGTATTTCTGGGGTGTTCAGGTGCCTGGAACATCACTGCTCTCCCTCCCCCAGGCCCGGGTGCCCCCCGAGTTGTCGCTGGAGCCGAAGTCCCAAGTGTTGGGGGGGGGTCTCACACCCGAGTCATCCCCCCCCCAACCCCCCCCAGGCTCTGCTGGAGGTGTCACCCCAAAACCAGGAGGGCGACGGGCAGGTGAGTCCGGGGGGAAGGGGGGCACAGGGGGGACCCTCACCTGGCATTTGGGGACACCCAGGGGGACACACACTGGGATTTGGGGACATTCCAGGTTCCCAGGGGTCCCACAGTGGAGAGCCCCTTCCCACAGGGGTTTTTGGGGGAGGGGGGGTTTCCCCGAGCTCCGGGGGGTTCCCAGCGCCCCCGAGGGGGTTCCTGGGGGTCCCCCAGCCCCTCTGACCCCCCCTTTTTCCCTCCCCAGCCCCCCCCGAGCCGCCGCCGCCGGCACAGCTCCCACTTCCCGCTCTGCTCCTTCTGCTGCAACTGCTGCGGGAACCGCGGCTGCGGCTTCTGCTGCCGCACCTGAGCCCCCCCCGGGACCCCCGGCACCGGGGCACCCCCCGAACCCCTATTTATTACCCCCCCCCCGCCCGTGGTGGCAATAAACCCCCCTTTTCTACGGATCTCGTGTGGTTTCGGGGGGTCCCACGGGGGTCTGGGGGTGGGAGGAGGGTCTCGGGTGGGCAGGGGGGGGCTCAGGGGGTCGGGGGGGGATGTGGGGATTTGGGGGGACACCGTGGTTTGGTGCCATCCCCCAAGGATGACCAGGAACAGGAGTTTTGCCCCAAAAAAAGCTTCAATAAATACAGCGGCCCCTCCCCGGTACCAGGTGGGATCCCGGGGGATGAAGTGGGGGCTTCCTGTGCTCCCAGTGCTCCCAGTAAGGGTCGGGGCTCCCACGTGGTTCTTCGGAGGGAAGGGGGAAAGGGTGGGAAACATGAGGGGGAAGAGGGTGGGAAATGGGAGAGGGGAAAAAAGGGCCACCCATCGCTCCCAGTTGGGTTTGGGGGGGGATGTTGGGTTTGGGGGATTTTGGGGGGATTTCAGGGGGGATATTTTGAGGGGATTTTGGGGAGATTTTGGGGGGATTCTGGGGAGGCTCTGAGGGGGCTCAGAAGGCCCCCCCGCCGCGGGTGAGGGTGAGCACGGCGTCCATCCAGATCCGAAGGGCTTCGGCCGAGGGAGCCACGAGCCAGAAGAGCCGCTCGTAGGTCTTGAGGCAGAAGGTCAGGCGGGGGTTTGGGCTCTGGGGGGAAGGGGAGGGGACATTTTGGGGGTCAGACCCAGAGACCACCCCCTGAGCAGGCCCTACAAGTGCCCCCAGCCCCTTAGAACCCCCTGGGTGGGTCCTACAGGTGCCTCTGCCTCATAGGAACCCACCAACCCCATAGAGACCCCTAAGTCCCATAGAACCCTGTCAGTGGGTCCCATAGGTGCCCCCCAGCCCCACAGCCCCCCCC